GCAGAACTCACCACTCATAAATATTTAAGTGACCAGACACAATAGACAGGCATCTTTATTGTTCAAGATCAGAGGTACAGTGTGAGGCACAAAGCACAAGAGTAAGTGACTTTAGCCACTTTAAAAGTACATTTCCTTAGAAATGTACTTGTGAACTTATTTTTTTCTTCCTATATTCAAAAAGGGAAGATCCTCCCATTTATATATTCACTAGCCATTACTGGCAGTCACTGACACAGATAAGCCCCCTCTGATGGTTTGGAGAAGATGGCTGTACTCTGGATTGCAACACCCCTTCATAGCCAACAATGGGACTGCATCTGATATTGCACTAGAACAGCAAATCCTCAAAAAGGAGCTCAAAATTACAGAAGCAGATCCTCCAGGTTTGTGTCTGAGATTCAAAAAGTGTGGGAGATGTCTTTATGACTTTAGTAATTATTTCCAGCATGTTACATTCATACACAGTCACATTTTCTGAAAAAAAAAAAAAAGTTAATTCCATACTGAAGGATTTTTCTTTTCTCTACTGAAATGAGCAGTGATTCAAACTTAAATGCTGATTGTCAAGTATTCTAAATCAACTGCTGAAATTTCATCGCCATCTTAAAAACTACAAATTGTACAGGCTTATTGAGGTATTCCAGGACAAAGGTAGAGTTTTGAAACAATATAGGTAAAGGGAAACCCAGCAAAATCAGATTTAGGGCACTCCGAGACAGAAACAAGGGGTTAAGTTGCTGCATCCAGATATAGTGGAAAACAGCCCTGAGACAAGTGGGACCTAAATTACAGACTATGAAAATGATATTAAAGAAAATAGAAATACAGGCCTGCCCTTGGTTTTAACTCTTTTCTCTCTGATGCTTTGGATAAATCAATATGCTTTTCTGTAATAATTTTTTTCCCACTACTTCAACTTCTGCTGTTTTCTGTTGCTTATGAGTAGGGCTAAATTCCAGTTAGACTGTGGAGGAAAAACATCAATATTTTTTACTCAGGGACCAGTGTGTGATGACTAACCAGACTTCTCCCTGTCAGAAGCTCAAAGACAGGGCAGTAACTTGGAAAGCTTGTCAAAGGGAAGAGCAGTTGAGTATTCAAAGGTACAGGCTATCTTGAACTACAACAGCAGTGTTGTGCAAAGGGGTTGTAACACCACCACATTTATGTAGGGGTTGTGAATATTGTAGCCACTTCCATTATCTAGCAGCTTCTGGGAAGCTAGAGTAAAGGTCTTGGAAATTTCAGGCCAGTTAATTTATTGAAAGTACAATTCTTGCTCACCAGTAACTTCACTGCCCTTGAATAATTACAAATCAGTTGCCTCAACCTTTTTTCATGAGAGGTAACAGGCCACAGCAGCACAGGTTATTCAACACTGCCCTGCAGGGAGCTGTGAGGTGAGGGGAAAGCTAGCCACCCACTGACCCCTCTGCTGAAATTGTTGCTGATGACTGCCCTATTTTGCTGATGATAGCATGTTACCAGGAATTTAAAAAACAAACAAACACAGAAAACCTCAAGAAAGATGCTTAGAGCGTTGTTAGACTGCAAAGTCAATGTAAGCTTTGATTGGCACATACAAATCATCCATGTAGTCTGTTCACTGTGGTTTTCTTGCTCCCTTGGCCATTTTTAGCAGGATGAATCAGTCATATCACATCCTCCATGTGAATCAAACTAATTGTAACCCATCACAAGACCTCATCTGCTGTTACACAGCAGGGAGACCTACAGCTCTGCTGACTTCCAATCCAATTCAGCAGGAAAACAAAGTTACAGTGCAGATCACAACAACATGGGCACTATAAAACTGCTGCTGCTCAGCTGATGAAGTCAAACTGCATGTGTCAACTTCTTCATCAAGGAAAGTGTGTTCCACATGTTACTTGTCTACTTGAACAGCTAAAGGGCAGTTTCATTCTGCTGGGTTTTTTTCTGTACACTTGTAACTGTGTTTCTGTTGATTCAGCTATTCATATCTTGAGTTTGAAAATTAATAGCTAGTCACCGGGTGGTTATAAAAGCATTTGTTACGGAAGAGAAATTATCAGTGCCAGCCCTCAGCAAGGTCTGGAGCAACTGGGTACTAGAAAGAAGATCTCAGAAGAATTCTAGCTTCTTGTGCATGGGACCCAAACCTGCAGGAAGCACACAGCCCTGCCATGCTATTACTCAAACAGAGAGGCAAGGAAATAAGAGTGTAGCATTGGAGAAATGGAGTAGGTGTTGCACAAAGGACTTGGCTCTTTGCTGCTCCTCAGAAATAGTATGTGGAGGTAGGAGTTAGCCTATGACAAGTTTTCAGGGAATCCACAAGAAGATTCATTGCCTCTTGATTGATTACATCTGACAAAGGGGAAGGATATAATAAACTGCTCCACTATGAACCCCTGCCCATGAATCCTGCTTGGCAGATAATATTGCAGGAGTAATTGTTTTCATTTGGAATGCAGTGTCTTGAAACACTGCAACCTGTGAGAAGAAGGAATAAGGGCAATGCAACTGCAACCTGAAATTTCCTTTTATTGAGGCTGCTTGCATTTCTGGAGTGCAAATTTCACAAATAACCTGCAAACACACTGGAGAGCACACTGTTCCCTAGTCATGCTGTGCTGACTTTTTAGCCCTTTAGGATTTCTAGGCTGTGCAGATCATGCTGTTTTGGAGATGTGTAACTAAAGATGTGTCCTCTTTAAACACCCCCTGAATGTCCAGCCCTGCTGGACAGAGAGGAGTGTTTAACAGAGAGGCTGACAATCAGCCAAAGGATGCGATTCACACCTGACAGATTGCAGAAGCCTCCTGGCATTAGGCAATCCACACCTTCCAAGAACTGTTATTTCAAGAAGTTATTGGTACAAAGTATTTCCCGAGGGGGTGGTAGCAATTCCCACAAGGCATGTACGGAAATATGGCAACTTGCTTCACAGGAAGACAGACGTTTTTCTTGACAGGGAAAAGGGGTTGCTACTAAAAGTAGTGTTTGGTACCATTCTTTTGTATGCTACCAAGGGGAGGTGGGCGAAGGCTGAGTCCTAAATTTTTCTCAAGAGCAGCACTCTTCTAGCCGTCAGGAAGCAAGACCAGGTTTAGCCTTCTATGCACCTAAATTTAAGCACAGCAAAGAAAGCCTCTTCTTGAAAAGAAGGATGGAAACAACATGGGTGTATTTTCAGTGTCCAGGTACTTGGCCATTCTGGGTTGGAATGGATATATTTACACAAGTGTACTTTCTCACCCATTCTGTGCTTGGAAATTCCTGCCAGACTAGCTTATATCTGAACCAAACTCACAAATGCTGATTTTTGCTGTCAGCATGACACGTAAGTTCACATTGCTAATCATGAAGGTATGTGTCAAGAGACAGGGAGCAAATTCCTAGAAACCTTTGTTTCCCAGACTTGCACTGGAGAGGTCACAAAGTCACCATTGTATGAAAGAGAAACGTTTACTCTCTGTTCTAGTGACTGCAGTCACTGAATAAAACCACTAATAAAATAAAAAAGAAAAATCAATTCTCTGGAAATGGAAAGCCACGTTATTTGTCAGAGGAGGACTTTGGACTTCTCTTCTTCACACTCTAGGGCTGGCTGCAGCCCCAGCTGCTACAACCCATCCATTAAAAACCACAGTGGATTTTGCAAGAAGCCACAGGATTGTGGAGAGCAGGAGGATGGGTAGCAGCCATCTTGGCCTGTGTGGCGCCTGATAGCAAAGCAAGGTGAGGTGTGAGGATGGGGAGGGAAGGGTGGCACAGGGAGGCAGGGGCAGCAGTGCGCTGGCAGCCGGGAGGGCCAGCCACGTCCTGGGGGCATCGGGCACAGCATTGCCAGCCAGGCAAGGGAGGGGATTGTCCTGCTCTGCTCTGCACTAGGGCAGCCTCACCTTGAGTGCTGGGGGCCGTTTTGGGTGCCACAATGTAAGAAAGACATTAAGCTATTAGAGAGTGTTGGAAGGAGGGCAATGAAGATGGTGAAGGGTCTGAAGGAGAAACCATATGAAGAGCAGCTGAAATCACTTCGTTTGTTCAGCCTGGAGGAGACTCAGGGGTGGCCTCATTGCAGTCTTGTACATCCTCGTGAAGGGAAGCAGAGGGGCAGATAATGATCTCTTTCTTCTTTGTGGTGACCAGTGATAGGACTCGAGGGAATGAACCTGTATCAGGGGAGGTTTAGGTTGGATATTATAATGAAAAATTCTTCACTGAAAGAGTGATTGGGCACTGGAACCCTCTGCCCAGGGAGGTGGGAGAGTCACCACCGTCCTTGGATTTGTTTAAAAAAAGACTGGACACAGTGCTATAGTTTAGTTTATGAGGAGGTGTTGGATCATAGCTTGGACTTGATGATCTCAAAGGTCTTTTCCAACCTAGTTCATTCTGTGATTTTGTGAAAAGGTTCTTCACCCAGAATGTGTGTTTGAGTACTGGAACAGGCTCTCCAAGGAAGTGGTCACAGCACCAAGCCTGCCACAGTTCAAGAAGCCTTTGGACAATGCCCTCAAGCGCATAGTGAGATTTCTGGGATGGCTATGCAGGGATGGGAGATGAACTCGAAGACTCCCGTGGATCCCTCCCAAACCAAGACAGGCTGTGATTCCGCTTAATGCGGCCGAACGCTCCGCGGGCAGGGCCGTCCGCGCAGCCCCGCCACAGGAGGAGCCCCACGGCGGCCGCTGCGCCCCCGGCCCCTCACGCGGCGCCGGTCCCGCGCCTGCGCGGCCTCGTGGCGGCGCCTGCGCGCTGGGGCGCGGGGCAGACGCCGCCGCTTTCGGCGCGGTTGCGGATGCGGAGCGGCTGCGGCAGCGGCACCCCGAGTTCGCGCCTCCGCGAGCACCGGGCGCTCCCGGCTCGTCCCGCAGGCACGCCTTGGCGGCACCGGGCTGCTCGGAAAGGGGTGGGCGGGTAGGCACTTGGGTACGTAGGTAGGTACGTAGGTAGTAAGGTAGGGGAGAGTCGGCTGGGTCCCGCTGCCTCCTCATCGTCATGGCCGGCTCGGAGCAGCGGGAGGACGGGGAAGCGCCGTTGCCCATCGAGGATTCGGAGCTGGCGCTGGCCGGCATTAACATGCTGCTGAACAACGGCTTCCGCGAGTCTGACCAGCTCTTCAAGAAATACAGGTCAGTCCCGGCCGCCCCTCCGCCGCCCGCTCGCCGGGCCCCTGCCGCGGCGCGGCCCCTCCGCCCCCGCGGGCGGGCGGTGAGCGGGCGGCGGGGCCGGGGGCGCGCAGGGGGCCCTGGAGCGGGCAGCCTCGCCCTGCCCGGCCCCTCAGAGCGGGAAAGGTCGGTGCTGCTGGTCACTGCCTCGGTCAGCGCTCTCATGGGGAAGGGACACGCGTGTTTCTCAGAATCACAGAGTCGGTCAGGTTGGAAGGGGCCGCAGTGGGTCCAACCACCCAGCTCAAACAGGGTCATCTTAGAGCACATGGCACAAGATTGTCCTCAGATCGTTCTTGAATATCTCCAATGAGAGAGACTCGACAAGCTTTCAGAGCAGTCTGTTCCCCTGCAGGGTCACCCACCCACACAGTAAAAAAGCTCCGCTTCATGTTCAGGTGGAACTTCCTGTGCATCAGTTTCTGCCCATTGCTTCATGTCCTACTGCTTAGAACCACCGAGGAGAGCCTGGCTTCATCCTCTTAACACCTTCCCTTTGGATGGGTCAATTTTATACACATTGACGAGGTCCTCTCTCAGTCATCTCTTCTCAAGGCTGAAGAGGCACAACTCCCTCAGCCTTTCCTCCTCAGGGAGGTGTTCCAGTCCCCCAGTCATCCTCGTTGCCCTCTGCTGGACCCGCTTTAGGAGCTCCATAGCTCCTTTGTACTCAGAGAGCTGGAACAGGGCACTTCAGGTGTACCTTGACTTTACACACTTCAGGTGTGCCTTGACATCCTTCAATCTCTGGCACTGCTCTCCCTAATGCATCCCAGGGTTCTGTTGGCCTTCTTGGCCAAAGGGGCTCGGGGATGATGTGGGGGGTGTATGGTGCCTCGTTGGAGGGGTGGAGAGGGGCTGAGCAGGGGTCCCTCGGTAGCGCTGTGTGCATTTGGCTGTCGTGAATGTGTAAACACTCACGTGTGGCTGGAGATGTGTCCTGGGGGGTTTTCGCTCCGATGCTCGTGTGTGGTCTGACGTGGTCTTCAGCACACAAAATAGATAGCAACAAAAGGTCTGTGAGTGCTGCTGTGATTCTCTTTGGCTGTAAGATTATGTTCATAATCCCCACATACATCATGTCTACGTTTCTGCGTTAAGTAGGCATCTGGCATTAAGTAGGAGCAGCATTAGTGCAGCTGTGTAAGTCAGGCTTAAAGAAAAGGTTGCCCCTACCTGTCCTTGCTCCTTTTCTTAGGACTAATGTCTTCCACTCGAGCTTGAGCTGCTGTAATTGTGCATATGTTCTAAATAATTAATATGCACTATGCTGTTGTCTGTATGATTAAAAAAGACTTTGGTTGACTTAAAATAGAACTTCATAGTGATGATGTACTTATGTATTTAAATCTTGTTTACAGAAAGGATGGTTGGAAGTGGAGTGCAGGGATTGAGACACATTAAGAACATTTTGCTTAAAAACAGCAACAATGGAATAACACTTTGTGTACCTGCAACAGGTTAATATTAAATGTGTCATTTTTGTCTCCAGTATATACTACTATGTTACACAAAATGCTGTTGTGAAGGACTAACTGGAATATTGCAGGTGACAAGCAAGGTCCAATTCTGCATTCCTCACATGCATAAGCATGAAGTCCACCTCTTGAGCCAGCACTGCCAAGAACACCACTAAACCCTGTCTGTAATTGCCATGTCTATGTCATGTGAAGTTGCACCCTATGAGTTACTTCTTGAGTATTTTTCTTTTGAAGCCCTCAGTTGTTCTGTGTATCTAAGGAACCTGTTGGTTTTGGTTGCGTGCTTTTGTGTTGTGTAATTTTTTTAAGGTGCCAGTTAAGGAACACTCAGTGTGGTTTCCTCTCCTACTTTCGCTTCTGCTCTGCCATTGCTTTCTCTCAGTAGTCTGAATCTGGAAGTAGTCTGGGGATTCTAGGTATGTGATGCTTCTTAAACTTTAAAGGAGTTGTAGGGAGTAAAATTTTTAAGATTCCTGTTCTCAAAATGCAGTTTAATCCTCCGTTGACAGGGTGAATAATGATTTCTTCTGCAAACTTCTCTTGGTTATCTAGAAGGTTTTATTACTAAAGATATCTTAAATGGAGAAACCTGCCAATCTTTTTTGCCAGCTGCAGGCTTTTCTTTGTTTGATTTTATCAAGAAATGCCTTTTGAGTTCAGTGTACTTTCTGATTGTGGCTTTTAAACACCCCCTGCAAGGAGTAGATACGAATCCCTTCGTAAGATTAATAGTTCATGGTTCATAAATTGATAATTGCTCTCTTGGGCTGAAGATTTTCAGAGTAATTTAAAAACTTTGTCCTTCATCCCAAAATTTGTAGCAGCTTTCCTCTTGCTGTGAACTAATAAACCCTTACTGAATTGCAGATTAACTGTATGAAAATTTGGATTTCATACAGGGGAGAAGATGCAGCAAGTTAAGCTCAACTTCCTATAAACCTGAATTCTGGAGACATTTGCAGTGAGGACCACTTGTTTTTCCCAAGAGTTTTTGGTTCTGTGCTTGTCTTGAATGTGTTCTTTTTGCAAGGACTTAATCAGTGCTATATATGTTTGCTTGCACGCATTCTTAATGAATATGTTTTTGGAATTAGGTGTCTGCTTGGAATGATGCAATAGAACCCATTCTGATGGGGCTGGTAAGCCAAACGAGGAGCGTTTGGAAGCTCTCCATAATGTAATATCAGTGTTTGTAATTAGTGGTACTAGATGTCAAAGATGTCTGATGGCATGCAGCTTTTTAAACTAGATATGGGTGTGTGTTGTCTGTATTTCAGGTGACCTTTCTTGTAGAAAGTGTTAATTCTAAACTACTGCCTATGCAGGTAGTTTAGCTCCTTTCAGAAGCTTAACAGTTACTAATGAATTGTAGAAGTGAAGAATTGAGGTACTCAGCAAAACTTCCATTTCAGTAGCCACATCACTTAAGCTACCTAAAACAGTTTCTTAGAAACTGCTGGTTTTGATTCCGCTTTTTTTTACTTAAATTTTAAATTAATTTGCCACCTGAAAGATCTTGTGAAGAATTCAAATTAATGCCTTTATCCTTATGGGACAATAGGCAACCTTGTCTCTAAAACAGGCAGTATGTATTTTTCTTTGCTCTTCTGCATTTTTGCATCTTCCAGAAACTATTGAGTGTTGAACCGGAGTGTCCTTTTTCCTCTTGTAGCTTTGAGGATTTCTAAGCATATAAGAAAAAAACTGTCAAAAGAAAGCTGACTGCTGAGCCTAAAGTCAATTACATTTGAAAGCTGATCATAATGCAGTCCTTGAGTAAACTGGGCTTGGAATTGCAGCTGTGTTTCATATGCATATCCACACCAGTAAAGTCTTGCCTATTGAAAGTGGTTGTACTTTGAAATTATGTGCTGCAGAATCATGATTTCTGTGTTGGACTTGGGAGAGTGGTGTTTTGTCTTCCAGTGGTTACAGCTCATGTACACATCTATAGAGGATCTGAAGAAGACGAATATTCAGTTGTGTGCCAGATACAACATGTAGTTGGAGCTGCATTGACTATCACACTAAAGCACTTAATGATTTGTCAGGTGTTGTTTGGGAGTATTGTTGTTTTAAATTATACTTGAGGGAAGATAGTTGGGTTTGAAAAATCATCTACATGTAGCATGTATATCTGCATATGCTTTTTCACAAGTTTATTTTTTTTTTCTAAGTCCAGATCCTTTACCTGCTGGTGGTGATGATGTTCTGATCATGAATTAAATACCAGTGGATGTGGTATTTTTGTAGATCTTTACCAGACAGCACCACTGCCCTTAGTGCTTGTAGCCATACTAGGTTCCTTCAGTGCTAACTCATATTTGGAACTGTCAGATATCAATCTTTGTATTCAGCTTGAACAGTGCTGACTCTGTCCTAGTTCTCATCAGTTTAAACTTTTGAGTGTCTATGGAAACTGTAAGAGGTATGGAGGTTAACCAAGGACATAGACAATGAAGATGGAACCCTCAAGCATCAGGATAGTACTGGTTTGCTGAACCACCCTGACACTAGAAGGAATGCTGAGCTGGAATATTCTTTTTCCCCTTGTAGCTTTGTGGATTTCTAGACATATAAGAAGGAAAGAAACTGTCAAAAGAACTTATTTTTTTGCTGATTCTTCACTTCTTAAGAGCATTTGCAATTCAAAAATGATTAAAAAACTTCCTCCAGCTAAGAGAAGACCATGTTAAATAAAGCCAGGAGTTTTTTCACTGAATGTTGACTCACAATGTAAATTGTCAAATCATAGAGTATCCTGAGTTAGAAGGGACTCATCAGGATCAATGAGTTGAACTCCAGGCCCTGCAGAGGACAACTCCAAGAATTACCCTATGTGCCTGTGATCATTGTCCAAAAAGACTTTTTGAACTCTGTCAGGCTTGGTGCTGTGACCCCTTCCCTGAGGAGCCTGTTTCAGTGCTCGAGCACCCTCTGGGTGAAAAACCTTTTCCTATACCTAACCTAAACCTCCCCTGATGCAGCTTTGTGCCATTCCCTTGAGGCCTGTCGCTGGTCTTGAGGGAGAAGAGATCAGTGTCTGCCCCTCCTCTTCCCCTCAAGTTGTAGGCTGCAGTGAGGTCTTCTCTCTGTCTACTCCAGTCTGCAGAAGCCAAGTCACCTCAGCCACTCTTATAGGACTTCTCCTGAATGCCCTTCACCGCCACCTTTGTGGCCCCCCTTTGCATGCTCTCTGATGGCCTTCTGCCTTACTTACACTGTGGCACCTAAAACTGCACAGAACCTGAGCTGAGGCTGCCCCAGGGCAGAGCAGACAATTACTTTCTTTGACTGGATGACAGCTCTGTGCCTGATACACCCCAGGACACATGGTTGGCCCTCCTGGCTGCCAGGGAATAAATCGTAAGATCAGGGCTATTATCTCACAAGAAATCCAACAATCTTCTGTCTCCTACCCAAGAGAAATTTGACTGTGCGTGAATGATTTTAACATCTGAGAAGGCTGGAAAAATTTCCTAA